TTAATAAGGAATGCGTGCTTGATATAAATCATCGTCAATCATCGTTGTGCGCTAGGGGCACGGTGTCTCGGTAAATAGAGGGCAATGTCATAATCAATCAGGCGGCAATTGTTGTCAGCGTCATCTTACTGCTACTGTCATCCATTATGGTGGGAGATGGTAGCCTTCTCGTGGCCCACTTGTTAAGTGCCTCATCGCACGACTAATACCATCACGTTGGCCTAGCTTTCGCATGGCTCACAGACTTAAGCTTGGACGTGTGATTTGCACAGACTTGCCATAAGCTAGAGATCACAATACTTAACGGGGCTACCCAGGGAAAGCCAATTAACATTGCCCTTGTGATTTTAAGTTCTCTGCTAAATGATAATAGGAATGTTACACTATGAGACCTCCTTTACCAGTGGCAAAATATAGTAATAGGTTTTTACCCTTTCAACTGGTATAAAAACTGACACCTTTATACAAGGCATCATGTTTGCAATAACCACAACATAAGCTGATGCCTTGTATAAAGGTGTCAGTTTTTGTACCAGTTGAAAGGGTAAAAACATATTACTATATTTTGCCACTGGTAAAGGAGGTCTCAGTGTAAATGCTTACCCCGAGCTCTCAATACTCTTGATAGTGCGCTGTCTTTGAGTTGTACGCCTTTTGGCGTCATCTGGTCCAATACCAATGGAGACTAGGCTCTAAGAAAAGCTGTCTCGGGTGTGGACCAATCAACTTCAAGGACAGTGCATATCATTATCATCATCAGAGCTGTTTCTTTTTGTTTGAATTTTGACTGCTTGTGTTGTGGTTATTGCAAACATGATGCCTTGTATAAAGGTGTCAGTTTTTATACCAGTTGAAAGGGTAAAAACCTATTACTACGATAATAGGAATGGTTTACTACCCCTTTACAAATACACGAGCAGATGATGAAGGCCTCCCCCAAGCTATGCTGACAATGAGGGTTGTTTTACCACACTTCACCATGCTGATCAGCGAGAGTTGGTGGAGGGGACGGTGGGGGGTGCTCAGGATCAGCTTAGATACCACTGGCCACTGATGTTGGCTGTGGATGGGCATCAAATTGATGTCACCGCCCACTCCGCCCCCAATCATCTGTTAAATAAATGCGCCTTACTTATGACAAGGTGACAGTGAACATTGCACTCAAAGTGCTGACCCACCCCTGCTGGACATCTGTGAAAAAGAGCTTCATAGCTCATCGGATTCCTGCAGTCTAAGTTACAGATTCTGATTCTGACTGTAGTGGGATGAAGAATCTGACCATGAAATGTACATTTTGTAACGATCATTACACTGCAGAATGTAACTGACAAAATGTCTTCAACAAAATAAACAAACGACTGCCCAATATAGATCCGTGAAATGAACATAAATTGCCTCGGGTGCTCAAGCGCCCCATTAGCGGTCGAAGGCAATTATGCCGCTTAAACAACTGTGGTCTGTCTGGTTTACTTAATATATTAATTTATCCAAACAATGCAAATGTATGTCACGCAAACGTGGTCTAATGCGGCGTATGAACATTTTCCATCAATGGCATGGGTCCTAAAAACACAACAAAAAAAACTTTGTAAGCGCCTGTGCAGTACAGTAGTTTCGTGTTCACTATGCAACAACGTTGTGATGGCAGCCTCCCTCTGCACAAGGTAAAAAAGAAAAGTACAGCCTTTTGTCAATCGGCTCCTCGATGGTCTACCCATGCTGTGACAGTCATGGGGGTAGTTTGACCATACTTCACCACACTTTTCAGTGTTGGTTGGTTAGCTCAGATATCACTCGTCACTGATGTTAGCTGTGGCTGGAATTCAATCGCAGGTCACCGGGTTCATAGCGAAGTCTGCAACCATGGCGCCACCCAGCACAAAACAAATCAGGTATGACATTCGTGAGGATAGAGGATGAAGTTGCTCACTCTCCTCCAGCGAGCGGTGGTATAAGATGACACACCGTCGTGTCGAGTACACCCAGCTCGCCGCTTGGTTCATGACCTATTACACTGCTCACTGGACTCAAATACTGTACATTGCAAAACAAAGCTCTGCTGTAATAGGGGAGATGAACGTACAGTGCATCATGAAAAAGCCAGAACATTTTCCCGTTAAGCATTTAATGAATGTTTGCTATTGGCACACCGTACAAACATAAGCACAAATACTGTGCAACCAATTTTTCTACTTGTAATGGTTTTTTTCAGCTCACAGTTTAATAAAGGTCATTTGCCGTGACTCCAACATGCCCTCTTCTCCAGACGTTCATGTTCGTCAACGGCACGTGATCTGCGCTCGGTGGCAAGCATGTAAAAACGCCTACGAATTGAAGGTTAACCACGTCATCGTGAGCGGCACTCATAATCTCTCTGCCATTTGAGTGGCGTGTAACATGTTCGTGATTGCCTTATGGCCACACGAGTCGGGAAAATTAGACTCTGTGAGGAATTCAGCTTTGGGGCGGTGTGTTGGCCACAGTAGCCGCCTTAGTAACCGTGTTCATAACTTCAGCAAACACAGGCTAAATGGGAGCCTAGCGTTGCATGACTTTATTTATTCATTCACTCATTCATTTTTGTGTGAGCCCGGCAGTTTCTAGGTGATTGCCTGCCGGTTCTGGTTGCCGGGGCCAATGGTCGCACGTCAATGCTTTGATTCATCGTCGCGTCACGGGCGACTCAATCCGTTACAGAAATGCTGGTGCAATCGCCGATGCCACCACAGGAGCCCTTGTACAGTCAAGCCCACAACAGACAGCATTTGACTGGCCTTTAGTCACTAGCCCTGTCTAAATCAAGAGGCCCCATTGTTGGGTTACGTCGGCAGTAAATTTGCTGATGCGGGAACATGGACCCGGTTTTTTTCTAAGTTGCAGATATGTTTTAAGCTGCTGTGCCTTTGACTGGGCATGCATAAGTGAACACTTTTGTGTTAATTATATTACAGTCCTTCATGTAAGACTGCTTTAGCCATAAAAAAAAATATCGGTTTTGCTGGATATTCAAAGCCAAAACCACCACTGGAAATGAATTCCTTCATGGAAAAATGCATGCATAAACGCTGCCCACTTTACGAATGAACTCCTCTACGTGTAAGAGCAGTTACTCAGCCATGCGCTATTGTGTCATTACAATTCAGGCTTTTATTTAGTTATTTATGCCTTAGCTGTTAACCCCTCACTGCTGGGAAAGGCCCTCCGCTCAGCTATGCCTTCCACTCTTCACGATCTCTTGCCACCTCCATCTTCTGGTGCGCTCATCCAAATCGTCTGTCATCCCACCATCTCGTTTTTGTCGAAGTCTCTTTCTCCTTCCCTCAAGCACCCTCTATTATGTGTTTATTTTGCCTATCTGTCAACTGATGCCCTACCTAGTCGCCCCTCTGAAGTCTATTCCAGTTTCTTTTTCACTTTCTAAATTACATTTACTCCAATGAAATCTGTTAACATGGTTATAATTACAATACAACTACAATATACAAATACTGTCCGCTGCAGTGTAAACAGCTCATTATCAAATCGCTCGGAATAACTTTGATTCTATTAGACCACAGAAGCTGAGCAGATTTGAGCCTGGATAGTGCTTGATTGGGTGACCACCATGTGTAACACAGGTGCAGTAAGCGTTGTGGGCAGTAGAGGGCAGTGCAGAAAAATCCACTGGTATTCTGCCCTCCCCCCACCATCACCAACATGCAGTCACCAACAAGCACTGACCAGCATGAAGTATGGTTAAATAAAGCTCGCAGCCAGTACGTTGTTGGGATGCCCTCATCCCCCAGTAGTAGCTGCTCAACCCAAGCTATAAATGCTCCGATAGTGCATTGTCTTTGTACTTTTCCCACCTGATGACGGATACTTGTGTTGCGCCCGAAACGTCGTGATTTATTTTATTTCATACCTACGTGACATTACCGAAAGAACCAAAGAGTATGGATTCTTGCAGTTCCGAAAGCTTCAAATCTAGATTGTCTTTGTGCTGTTCGCCTTTTGGTATTCTCTGGTCTGACACTGGTGAAACTAGGCCCTAAAGAAGGCTGTCTCTGCTGTAAGCCAATCAGTTTCAAATAAAATGCATATATTATCAGAGCATGTTTGTTTGTATGTATGTATGTTCACCAGAAATACGTGTGGTTAATGCAGACACGTTGCCTTGCAAAATGTTTCTATTTGGTGTTTGACCATCTTAACACCTATTTTATTGCCAGAAAGGGTAAACGCTATTCTTATTTTTATATATATTGAAGTAGTGTTAATGCTGGTGGGCACAGTGGCTTAGCACCCGTCCGTGTGCCATTCCGTTTTCACGCCCAGTGTCCAAACAGCCGGCGTGCCAAAGCTCACATGCATGCATCCATCTCTCTCGCATGTGCCAAGGAATATTTGGCTATCAGCAACACAATATGATGTTCATTTTCATACTTGGCTTCAATTCCCAAGAGGGCAGAAAACATTATAAATGCAATGTAACTGATAAAATATATTTTCCAACTGTGAACGCCATTGCTTTTGCACAAAACTAAGTGTATTTCCATGAAGTGAAATAAAGGCTGTGGAGTGCACCAGCTGTCATAAAACACACCAATGTTTGTCCCCCCCCCACCCCCAAAGAGGGCTGCTTAGTTATTATTTACACAGACCTATTTAACCCATTGCTATATTGACAGTAGAATCTGCTTACATGAATTTGAAAGAAATTCCACCACAACAACAACAATGGACGTCACACACAGAACCCCCCCCTGCCCCCCCCAAAGACGCACTTCTGGTAGCCGCGCAGAAGTCAAGGTCTGCGGTTTGCATTTCTGGCCGGTTATCAAAGTGGCGCGTGAGCAGACACGTCGCCGAGAACTATGAGCGGCGCAAACTTCAAACGCGATGAGTCAGCCGCCCAACCCTGGCGGTCGGCAAGCCAGGGGGTCAAGGTCGGGGCACCAGTGCGAATGTCCCCGCTGTGTCGCGCGGGGGCGCGGGGGGCGCGGGGGCACGGGGGGCACCTTCGATGCGGCGCAGGGCCTGGGCGCAGGCGTCGAGGTCGGCGAAGGAGAAGGGGTTCCCACAGGTGCGCGCCTCCTCGCAGACACACTGCCCCGCGCGGAGGTTGCAGCCCGTCACGAGCTCCTCCAGACACGGCTCCATAGCCAGGTACTCGTCGTCCGCGTAGTCCTCCTCCGCTGCTGCCACCAGACACATGGAGACGGACGACGTCACGCGGCGCACGCACGAACGCGTGCACGCACGCACCGCAGACAGGCGGAGTAGGCAAGGGATGAACGCCGGCGGTACAATGCACGGTAACAATGCATTTGTGACTGCATGAAAGGTGGACATTAGAGGTATAACAATTCACTTGGATGTGGCGATTTGTAGAATGGTTATGATTCAGAGCTGCAATCGGATTGCAGGAATCAATATATTTCTCTTCTTGGTTCTTTTCGGTAAAGTCACGTAGAAGGGAAATAATAAAATAATAAAAATAAAACATAATAAAATTCTCACGACGTTTCAGCCACAACGCAAGCAGCCGTCCTCAGGTGAAGAACAGGGCTGTCGGAAAGACAGTGTCCGAATGGCTTTCCGACAGCCCTGTTCTTCACCTGAGGACGGCTGTTTGCGTTGTGGCCAAAACGTCGTGAGAATGTTATTTTATTATGTTTTATTTTTATTATTTTATTATTTCCCTTCTACGTGACTTTACCGAAAGAACCAAGAAGATGAATCTCTGCAGTCACGAAAGCTTTAAATCGAAAATCAATATATTTGTTTTGCCATAGCTCATTTTCACTTTCTCATTAGTATTGATTTAAAAAAAATTGTCTCATTTGTACATTTTTGTTCACTCCATTTCCCCTGAATGTTATACGAACATGTAATTGTATATATCTAATAACATCAATTATTATACAGGTGATTAGATGCATGCATTTATGAACTTCTAGATGTAATATTTTCACCACGAGGAGATTTGAGTTGATTCAGGATTTTTTTTTTATATCACGATGAATATAGCAGGCACGAGTGGAATCAGGAGTCACTTAATCCCATTACAAAACAATATAGTATGTATGTCGAACTTTCTTTCGCACCATACATATCCAACCACGCTAATCGGAGGTGATATGATGACCCCTTTTAACGCTAATTTGATTAGCGCTCACTTCTACAGGAACACATTTTGAGCACTCCGCCAGGTCTGCCTGTATATGAATGGAAAACCATAAATTCTTACACATGAGATTAGGTGCATCCATCATCAGCCTTAATTTTACAAAAAAAATGTTTATACAACCCCTTGGGCCTATGGTCTTCTGGGAGTGCATAATTTGAGCAGCATTGATTCAGGACAAGCAATTTCACTGAAATATAGGTCAAGGAAGAGCAGGGTGGGCTTCCCCAGTTCCCATGTGTTAATGCAATGAAATACAATTTGGCTTTACACGGCACCCAAATGTAGTCGCACGTTGAGACGCTGTGAATAAACAGCAGGCATAGTTATCTTGTATAAGGAAAGAGAGCCATAGGTATCTCTGAGTCTTTGTGATTATGGGTCACTGTGTGATTCTACGGGTCTCAGTAAACCCATGAGAGTCAATACAATAAACTTTGGACTTACATACCATCGACATAAGACCGCATCTCCAGACGCTGTACAGAAACTGCAGCCATTTTTTTATTTCATGGAGACAAAGTGACAGTCAGTTATAGGCAGAGGAAAAAAGTATTGAGGCCTGGACTTGAACAAAGTCGGTTAAGGGAATCGACAGCACGGATGGATGGGGGAAGGGAGTTCCAGACTATGGGGGGCAGCAGAGGAGAATGAGTGACCTCCTGCTGCTTGCTTTCCCTGCTTTCCCTGCAGGCAGCGCACGTGGTGCGGAGCATTCCAAGCCTGCCGCAATAGTGCAGCCATCTCTAAGCAACAGGCTGCTAGGCTGCAGGGAATGCATTCTGTTCAAAGTGTCTGAGGATCGCATTGTTTTTAATCGCTTGAGTGGGAAGGGTATCGTTTTTAAGATAGTTACAGTCTTGTTTACCGACGTAACCCGATAGCTTGTTTTTAACGACTAATGTCTCAAGTTGTTGGCTATTAAATATCAACGTTTTTTTTCATTCAAGATCTCACTTTATAAAATATGTTTTTTCGTGGATAACAAGTAAGGATAAGGGTGCATTTTTGTTTACATGATATGCATTGATTCATATTTTTATTGTCATGATATGCGCATCAATAGATGCAACTCATGTGCTAATATGACACACTTCACACACGTGACAGAGTGGTATAGAACAATAAAAACGAGATGGAAAAAACAGGACGTACATAAAGGTGAATTAAATTGCAATACTGAATCAGGACAATTAATCAAATCACAAGAGGGCAGGGGGGGAGGTAAATCAATATATGCCTCTTGCACATTCAAAAGTCAAAGTGCCCTCCTCAATTGAGCATCGACTGTGCTCATTGCCTGCTCAAACACCGGAGAAGTCAACTGATGTAAATTCCAAATTCCTACGGGTGGAGGTGAGTATATTCAAAGGAGACCACCACTGTTGACTTATCTACAAAATGGTACTTATTGTATCTATCCCCGGAGAGATGATGGTCTGAGTCAACCACCAATCAGGATTTTAACTCGCAACCTTCTGCTTGCGAGCCATTCGCTTTACTGCTGAGCCACTTGTCTGGATATTGCACGTAAAAAAATAATAGCGATGGCAACATCTTGTGAATAAAAATACCTCCAAATTGAAGATCGATATGAAAATAAATACATTCAACTGAGGCAGAGGATCAATGTATGCAACATGATGGGACTGCTACTCATCCTGCCTGTTAATTAAACAAATGAACTAAATTATTTGTCCAGGCACCCATGATGTTATTTATCACTGTTGTAGCCATAATCTCCGTCGACACTTCGACAATCGCTTATTCATGCATCAGAAAGCTCAGATAAATTCCTTCGCATAAAACATCTCTTTGATGCATACAGAAACGAAATTTTGTGTGAAATATCAACCAGTACTGTATAAAGTACATCTAAAAACTGTTTGTGATCCTACGGTACAGATAATAATGTGTACTCCAGCCAATTTATCAATCCACTGCTGGATGATGGCCTGACCCACTCCGTGCGGGTCGTGGAGGTTATTTGACCAAACTTCACCACGCTGGTCAGTGTGGGCTGGTGAAGGTGTATCCTTTGTTTACGACAAACAGGTGGAAGGTCATAGAGCCGAAAAAAGCCTCTTTGTCAGGGCTGACCTGGGTCGATGGTCAACGTGGGCACATCACACATCGTAAACCTGATATCAATACAAACATTCAATAACAAACACTAATGCAATGCAAATGAAAATACTTGTGAATAAATGGATACATCGATCGGTTGGTTGTTGCATCACATAATTGTGAGAGATGGCTACGGCTTAGGGACGCCTTCATTCAACAATGGATTGATCATGGCTTCATGATGAAAATTTGAAAACAAAAAAATACGCAGCTTCATTATGAGCCATGGTCAATTCACCACTAGTCCACGTCCTCCCGAAGCCTTCACCATCTCTCACAGTCCTGTGATGCACTAATCGAACTGGCTTGCTGCACAATAGCATATTTCATTGCTCCATCTCTGTGGTGGACGTACTATTGGGCGGGATTCCATCTTTTGGCTGCTACTCCATCTTGAGCATCGGCTATCATCCCTTCCTGTCACGTGTCCTGCCTTGGCTCCACTTTTACTTTCCCAACAGTCAATACGATGTACATAAGTTGTTGCATATTTCTTCTTAATTTATACGAAGATGCATTTTAGCTGGGGTGTAGGGTTTACAATACAGGAGTTCGAAAGCAATTGCATTCATACCGGCCACGCAACAAATGCAATCTTAAATTAAAAACTGACTGGGAAAGAAAAACTGAAGTTCAGGAATGCAGGAATCCAGACACATACATCCTGTAGTGAGTGGAAATGACTCATCACGTAGTCACAAACTGCATTAGGTGAGTCTCAACAAAACAATGCACCATCTTTCATGTGGCACATGGCGAACTTAACAGCACATATATATATATGTGTCGAAGATGTTCTGGCTCACAAAAACCAACGGTTCTCTTGAAACAATGTGGCTGCACGTGAACATAAGGGACGGCAGGCAGCCAACGCCACCGTACGTTATATTCTCTTGCACCAGCGGTACAATTAAGCCACCCGTCCCGTCGTTAAAGAGAGTTCTAAACCACAACAATGCCGACAGGCAAACAACGCAAGCTACGGTTTAACCAACCTGAACGACCGAGATTAACCAAATTAAACCGAGTGACAGCACAACGCACAGGGGCCAGCTTCGTCCGCGAATACAAAGGGTCATAGGAATCGGGAAGAAGTCGGGCCACCGTCCCACCGCGAACGAGCAGGGCCGCTGGAAAGGGTCCATTTGATTAAGCGTGGCGGAGTCGATGCGTGGCAACCCAAGACCTGGACAGACGGGGCTTTATTTCCACAGTGCGGGGAGAATGAAGTGACACCGCTGCGAGTACAGTGGACCGCGGCGTGCGATACGCGCCGCGGTGGTGCCGGAGGCCAGGGCGACTGAGCCCTTTTCATGGTTATGCAACTCACACCATCCACATTCCATCCCGTGACAACAACACCCGCTTCTGCACAGCCCTCCCAGGCATGCGAGGTGGGGGCACGATTTGGGGGGGGGGGGGGGCGCGGTGAGAGGAGGAGGAGAGGAGGGGGGTGCTTACAAGCATGTTGTACAGCTTAACCCCTGCACTGACATAGACCTTCACGTAGGCTGCTCATGGCGCGAGAAGAAGGAATCCATCAATATTGCATTACGTGTGTCAATTCACGATCTAGGCGAATTAAAGACAATCGTGCTGGATGAAATATAAAATATAAACGAGACATTACCGGTAATATTACCACAATAATGTGTCAAGGTAAAGGCACAGGAAGTGTGATTTCTTGCTCATGCCTCTGCCGGAAAAATTACCTCCACTCCAGTGAACTCTAGAGAGGGCCCCCTCTTAGAGAGTATTCTAAGCGAGTTATTTGTCCGACTTTTCCACTCTGACGAGACGTCTGGGTAGAAGTGTGAGTACCCACACTCGATCCCACCACACACACGTGGAACCTGTCAATCGACCGTGGTGTACCCTCTAGATTGGAAATCCAATGTCGGAACCACTACACCCACGGCAGCATCCCAAAATGTGTAGTACATATTAGGAAATATACACTAACAATTTGCAATTCCTTTTTTTCAGAAATCATGAAAACCTAATGAAGTTTACGACAAGTTTCACCTTTATCTATGAGAATGTGCTGATCAAACATGCTCTCAACACACTGTGATCCTAACTCCTGTGAGCTTTATTAAAATACTGCGTCCAATAAGAAGACAACCGCTCCAGCCAACATCGTAGCTGCTTGATTTACTGTTGTATACGACCAACTCTCCCCTTTCTTGTTTGAGCTCATATGACGCTGGGCAGTCCTGCAATGTCACGACACATCTCGCTCCTTCGCACGAGCGGACATCATCCCTCCGCCGCTCCTGGAGAATGTTTCCTCTTTTTGCTCCAATTCCATCAACAGTCTCGTTCATCTGCTGTCATCCCTCCAAATAATGCATCCAACATAAGCCCACTTACTTTTAAACATGATGTCTCTATAATGTGTGTCTGCCCTCTGATCCACGTTCCTTTTCCTGTTCCTCAGTGTAATTCCCAGCACGGAACTCTAAAAAGCGTATTCTTGGTTCTTTCGGTAAAGTCACGTAGAAGGGAAATAATAAAATAATAAAAAAATAAAAATTCTCACGACGTTTCGACTGCAACACAAGCAATCATCATCAGGTGTGAAATCCACAGCAAGAAATGTTGAGCCTTCGTATCCCGGAGTTTGTTGAAGGATCTCAAAGCTATGTGGAGACCCTCCCCGTAGAGGCGGTTAAATTTTGATTTAAAGCTTTCGTGACTGCAATTTAACCGCCTTTACGGGGAGGGTTTCCACATAGCTTTGAGATCCTTCAACAAACTCTGGGATAAAAAGGCTCAAATTTTCTTGCTGTGGATTTCACACCTGATGATGATTGCTTGTGTTGTAGTCGAAACGTCGTGAGAATTTTTATTGTTTTATTTTAATATTATTACATTTTTCCCTTCTACGTGACTTTACCGAAAGAACCAAGAATATGAATCCCTGCAGTCACGAAAGCTTTAAATCAAAATCTAAAAAGCTTTTTTGCGATGTGATCAAATTCTTATTTCACGCTCTTCGTCACAGTCCATGTTTCTGATCCATACGTCGGTGGTAGACAATTGGTACCGATTGAAAATCAGAATCATTCATGGCATGGCAAGGCGCTATGATCGTGAAGGAATGGGATGCTCACGTGTCCTCACGAGCCCTTAAAAGCCAGGCACTCAGCGATTTGGGCAGCTGGTGTACGGGGCAGGGCTAAGAGAAAACGACGCTGGCCTAACAACAGAACGTCAGCTTCCCATGGGTGCTTTAGCAGCAGATGCATCTCAACAACCAACGGCCACAACTGTCTTTAACAGCCCACATGGCATGCTGTAACAGTGGCCAAGATGGGGCACACATTAAAATAAAGCATTCCAGAGGGAACAACAGCAATGCAAGTAAGAAGAATGTGCCACCTGCCCGGGCAGATACGTGCAGCTCTAATTTTCAGCGATGAGATTTGGCGCAAATCATTACAGAAACCGCACTCATTAAATGCCGGCTATTCGGTTGATTAAGCATTCACTGGGATGCTGTCCCATAGCCCAAGGCCATGGTTTTGACGTAAAGGCCATGTGCGTGCAGCCAAGGGCTGTAAATCTGCTCTTCATCAAGGATTAACACATGAGCAATTAGCGGGTAAAATATTGTTGCAGTGATGAGACTGAAAGGGGCTGTGGCACGAGCAGTGAAACCTGTTGAGTGTGCAAGTAGAGTGGGGGGTGCCCGATAGCCGGGGCATGTTTGCCTCAAAGCGTTAACTAATACCACCGTGTTAAATTTACTGAACTGAGTCAGCAGACAGACAGGGAGGGGAAAGAGTGTTTTACAAATGCCATATTTCATGTCACTGGCCTCTTTGTGAATGCTGTAACTACGTTACGGAGAGCTTCAACGCAAGACGAAGATATCAGTGGATCACGACCTTATTGAATACGATCGCGAGACCATTCTCGTTTGATCAGCCAAATCACTCTGAATGTAAACCAATTCGGTGAGTAATCGCACGGGGCACATTGCAAAAGGAGGTCGACTGAGCTGAAGGCGAGCCGTCGGGACTTGTCATCCGAACGATGGAGGCGATGGCGGCCGGTCAACACTTGCATTTCTATAATACACCAAGGTGTGTGGCAAAATATATGATCACAATACCTGCGCTGACATTGACGTACGCAGCTGCTGCCCCATTGGTCAGGCGTGGTGAAAAGCGCACCACACGCAATGATAAATTTAGTGGAGCTCACGCTGCGCCGTTCGCTGAAACCCTAACCCTTCTTACATGCACGCACACCGACCCTTATCTCGCATTCTGAAAGTTCATCTAAGTTGGACAATGTATGAAAACACTTGCAAATGTTCCTTGGAGGGCAAAAACAACCCCACCTGCAGTACTTGGCTAACTGCTGTGGACGTAACATGTTGCTGAAAGGTGAACTTCGGAACTAATGTGACCGGGCTGTTAATTCACTGTAAAAATGTGAAGTTTTTTTGTTTAAACGATCGGTGTGTTTTTACGAACCCGTGGCTTGAGCCACGAGGAGCAGTAATGAAGGGGCTCTATATAAGGCGCACTGCCTGATAGCGATCTAAAACAATGGAAAGCAAAAAAAACCTGCGTAAAATAAACACCGCTAGCGTTCCATTTCATCGATCATATTAAATTAGAGTTTTACAACTAACGATTTCACAAAAGTTATTATACGATCCTTTGGGGGGGGGGGGGCGGTTCTGGAAGCCTGCTACCCGCCACCAACGACCCACGCCCAATTACCACAAATTAATGACGCGTCGGAGAGGTTCAGCAAAGTGGTTCGCACGCTGCTGCGCTCTGTACCCGGCGACTTGAGTCTGGTTCCTGGTCACGGCGTGATACATGGACTGGTCCTCAACTTTATTGCCCTTTACCAACCTGCACTGAAACCACGGTGGTCAAGTATGGTCAAACAAGCTCCAAGCTCACACGAAAAAAAGAGACCATTAGTGAAATGCCAAAAAGGGCAGTAAATTCTTGTTGTTTTAAGATGGGAACCCCCATTTGGAGAATATTTATTACAGCTCTAATAAATTGCTCGTTTGCCTCCCGCAGGATGGCTCAGCGTCAACACATGGTACTCACCGATGACTCATGATGGTGACAACGATGACAAGAAAAATGCTCTGGCGGTGTTTTGCAAAGGAAAGCCCCGAGTCTTGAATTCACTTAAGGAGGCTCCTGCACGGATATGGTTTGGCCAATTCCATTCATACACATTACGTTTTGTGTAAGAGGCAACTAGAGGGGATAATGCTAAAAGCTGTGTGCACATGTATTCAAGTATCCTTTACTGTACCTATAGGTCACACACTAGCCCAAGCCTTCATCACCTGGTGTTGCCAGGCAGTCTCCCATCCGAGTACAAACCACTCAATCCTGCATAGCTTACAAGATCAGCCAAGATCACATGCATTCAGGGTGACTTTATCGATAATGATTGACAAGGATTATGTATGATGATGAATGACGGTGATTGTGATGATCTCAAGTGACCTCAGCATTTCAACACCACCACATATCACAGCTAGACATCTGGAATCCCGGGGCCACATCCTAAGCTAAATAGATCTGTCCAAGCGACGACCCAGCAATATTATCCTGCACCACATGGACACAAACCTGCCACCACCTACTAAACTATGAATCTCACCTTTGCAAATCCCGACCTCATCTCCATTCCAGTTTCTCTGCGCTGCTGGATCCATCGACAACGAATACGATGACGCCGATGCATTCGATGCGTGAGCTGTATCACCAGGAGGAGGAGGCGGAGGCGGTGGAGAAGAAGAAACGACGAGGCAGCGCAGACCCAGGTCACACTGGCCCACGATGCCAAATGGCCCCCCGCATGGTTCTCCCAGCTGGCGGGCGCACTCCTCGCAGCAGCCGCACGGCGCCGTCACGGTGTGGCCGGGACATCGCAGGTTGTGCTCGCAGCGGCTGCGCTCGCATGGGAGGCAAGAGAGGGCCGACACGGACACCGGCGCGGACAGCCAGCTCGGCGGCGGCGAAGACAGCAGCAGGGACAAGCAGGCGATGCACGCCGCAACCCGACCGCCGGGCCGGCCTCCGCTCTTCATGACGCTGCCGGCGGTGGTGGTGGTGGTGGAGTTGGGGAGTTGGGATTGGTGTGTTGGGATCGGTAGGTGAGGTTGAATCGAGTGTTGCTGTTGAGGTTGCGTTGGAGTAGTGGTTGATGCTCGGGTGAGATGTTGGGGTTGATGTTGGCGTAAAGTGTTGGGGTGATTCGGGATTAGGGTGGTGGGGTTGGGGTTAAGGGTTGGGGTAAGTAGGGGGTTGGAATTTGGGCTTAGGTAGGGGTCGAGGTTGGGGTAGGTGTCGAGGTTAGACTCCGGGTAAGTGGTGTTGTTGTTGTTGGTGCCGGGACAGGTGCAGGGGATAGTAGGGATGGGGTTAGGGTCGGTGGGGTAGGTTGGGAGTCGGTAGATGTCGTGAGGAGGAAGTCGGCAGAGTTGATCCTCCCGATCGCAGCACCGGCTCCAGCAGCAGTCGGAGTAGGAAGAGTTTGACGCAAAACTATCTGTATCATACAGCTGTTATATATACAGCACGATCGGATGTATGCTGTCTGTAGACGAGATGATAGATGCGTTTTCTTCGCAGTGTTAAGTTTTTTTAGTCTTCTTCTTCTTTAAATGAAGTGTCTTCCAAAACTGGCAATGCTATATTAATTAGCGGGGGGGGGGGGGGGGGTCCCAGAATCAGGTAGGTGTGCGGTGTGGCGTCCACACGCGTATGAGGGCCATGCGGCTACCTTGCAGCAAAATCCAGGTACACCGCAGACACACGCGGACACACAACACCTGTCTTACCGGCCTGTCTCACCTGACAGCCACACCTGACTGCCTTACCTGCCTGTCACGCCCTCCTGCTGACCGCAGCAATCCGTTTAGCTGTCCTATCAACCTGCCAATCACGCCAGCCTCCCCACCTTCATCATCCAGCCGTCTCACCCGGTCTGTCTGTCTGACTATCTATCAGGCCAGCTAGCCCAATCGGTCAGGTTAGAACCACAGGCGAACTTCACATCTCTCTCTCGCTGTCGCTGTGTCCCAGGCAGCAATTAAAGTTACAGCAGTAACATCAACAGCAGCAGCAGTGGTATAAAAATGAAATACACGCTGACCGATCACACTGCAGTCCTGACCGAGCCGTGAGCCGCCAATATCCACGCTCGCAATCAGCGCGCACGTTCTCTCGAAAAACAAAAAAAACCCTCGCCGAACTGATGACAGCTTCTTCTCTTGATGTAGCAGCCTTGGCCTCTCCGATGAAGTTACGAGCGTGTTCCGCGACTCTGCTGACAACTCCGATAGACCACTAGAAAGTGTCCGGCAGCAGCAGCAGCAAGCAGCAGCAAGCAGCAGCAGCCACCGCGAACTGTGGCGTTCTGCCTCTGCTTCGGGAGCCGCCGTCCGCTTCTACATCGAGTCGAGCTGTCAATCAAAGGCGTTACACGCCCACGTCCGGCGAGACCACGCCCACATCTTCCCGCTCGCCACGCCCATCTCTCTCTCTGGGGCACGCCCACCACGCGCGTGCTTGTTTTTGGGGTGGCATGCGTCTTGTGTGTGAGTGTCTTTTGTGTGCCCAATTGTGTCTTCGTGCGTGTGTTTGTGTGCCCAAATACGCGGTGGAAGTTAATGCAGTGACTTGTCGCGACGATTTAGGATGTCCGGAGAGACAGTCTCTGATGCTCACGGAGCCAAATGGAACAGCCTTAATTTAATGGCAATATTGTATTGTCATTTCATTTTAGATTTTATAGACACAAGCCCCAATTAGATTATTTGTTTTGCAAGACGGGCCACTTTTTTCAAGTTTGGTTCGGGTGACAGTCATGTCTCATATTTAGCCTTATAAATTGTTGTCATTTAGTACAAATAAAATGCGTGAATAATGATACATGTTTACAGATATAGAATACATGGAATCAATCACAATTTATTATTTTATCCAACAATAATTTGCCAACTTTATTTGCCCTCTAAATAATGACTGCTAAATGGACTTGAGTAATCCCTTCCTGAGCATTTTTAAAGCTTTTTCTCCCACCTGAGGCGTGCCATTATTTTCCTTCTTAACACCAATTGCAAGGAACAAAAGGCACCGGAGGAAGTGAAGTTTGGAATTCTTATCCCCACCACCTGCTGCTATGAACATTTCCTGCAATCAAGCACTGTTTGCTGTCCAGGAAGAGGTGAACGTGGTCACGACAAGGCTCAGCCAAGGCTGCGCCTTTGCCACCAACCCTTTAAATTCTCCATTTACAAAGTTGCGGACTACAATAGCGCTAACAGGAAGGGCAGCTCCAACCCTCAACCGCAACGGATACCGTGCCAATATTGCTCCAAACAAAAAGAAAACTCGAAAAGATATATTTCGACGATGTTTTGCTTTTCCCCAGCATGCATAGCTTAATTATTTATTGCAAAAAATTATTTTGCGGAGCGAGAAATGTGCTGCGGACGGCACACATTGGCACAACAGCAAAGCGGGAGTGTGTGGCTCATTTGCAGCATGGGGATCGTGGGCTCAGATCCATCGAGGGTGGCTTTGGTGGCACCGGGGTGACAGCTCCGAGCCAGATTCTTCTTCCAGAGCAGAGGAGCACTGTTCACCAATGCCTGCAGAGTTTGACACATGGTGGCGGAGAGCATGCCAAGGTTATGATCAAAATCCTGAGGCATTGCACGGTTCCGAGTTCCGACCAAGTAGGCTGCAACGAAGCAGACCCTTCTATAGCGCTGCGTGAATCTGGCACAGAGTAACCCTTACACATGTCTTGAGTAAACACAACCGTCACAATGGGCACTAATAATTTCCATCACATAGCAATCGACAATTATCATGAAGGGATTCGCCACCATAAGAATGTGGCATTGGTACGACATTAACGATTGGGGAATATGACATTTCATTTGTTGTTGTTTTTTGGAAGGCACGTCAGCTGTTTGGAAGCCATCATTTGGGAGAATGGAGACATCTTTTCAACGTTTGATGAAGTGAAACACTGTACAGTGGAGAAGATTTTTGCGGGCTCGCATTATATACAGTTGCAGCGTCCAATGTAAGCAATTTCCACTTGTGTAAAATACGTGACGCGCCGTGACTGCCGCACAAAAAGCACGCAATCCTCACGTGATACTCTGTGAAGAGTACTCACAAACATGTTTTCCCTTTGCAACACTGAACTACACAATTCTACACAAAGTCCTAGCCGTAATATTTCAAACGTTTCCCATAAAGGGAGCACCCTCACACTGTCGGCCTGTACTCGCACGGTTGGGTGCCAACGAAAGTCTTTTTCTGGGCGCCATAAATACACAATAAACGCCGCAACGAAATTCTGCAACAATATTGTCTTAATCAGAACGCAACCCGATCGCGTGTGTGCTTTTGCAATGCTAGCGCCAAAGCGGCCCTGCTCTGCGTATACGCGACGATCAGGTGCCGATCACCGCTGCTTCTCAATCTTGCAATCGAAGCGACGAGGGCTGAGGTGCTGTCAACAGGACGGGACCGGTCGGTCGCGAGCAGGGGGTTGCCCAGGGATTGTGCCCGGGAGAGCCAGGCGCAGCGCATGCTTGGCTTGTGTCCAGGAGGACGCCAAAAATACAACACACCTGTAGTGGTATACAGGCAGGCCTTTCTTTCACGAGCACATGGCACTCTCAAGGACCAAATTGGCAAAAACAACGCACGCGTTTGTGCGAAAAGTCGAACGGAGACCACGTTATTCCTTTCCTTTTTGCTGTCGTCGTTAGAACATCTGTGCTCATTATTGCAATATAATATTGTCAGCGTGCGTATATTCGTTGATTTCATTTAAATTGTTGTTTTGCCCCACCTGCTGCATCTCGCCAAATGCAGCCGTGTTTCCTCGACTGCCATTGTTAATTTAAAAATGCCTCTTGCATAAGGGAGGCTCAGTGAGGAATGGGTGCCCTCTGTTGGCAATCACTTCCACTCACCACAAACAAGAGCAGTCCACTGAAGAGCAGCGGTCAGAGACAAAATGCAGTACAATACTGGGAATCACTCAATATTACTATAATATTCAAATCAATCATTTGGGGAATTCGGCCACTCGAGCTGCAATTGGCAACTTATTTTTTTTTATACGACCTTTTATCAACTTATTACTGCATGAAGCATTCTATGTTAGCCACAGCGGTTGTTCGACCATACTTCACCAGACTGCGTATTGTGGGTTGGTGAAGGAGGGGGAGGAGGGGCTGAGGAAAACCAAGAATCGGTTCAGATGTCACTCACCACCACGGTTAGCCATGGCCAGGAATCAAACTCGGCAGGTTCATAGCAGCGCAATGCAGACCGAGCGTACTCTGCTAAAGTGTTTTTGAATAGAGAAAATGTATTAATTTTGGCTCAAGCCGTGCATCTCATAGCACAGCAATGATTTGCCTTTGCAATGGAAAGTTGTGGTAATTTGCATTCACTGCGTGAAGGGTGTGGAGTGAGTCCATCAGGGCATTAAAACGCCAGTACGTTCATGTTTTTTTATATGCTCCGTATTATTTGTAATAACAACAAGTGAACCTACTGAAGTCCTCACACAAATGTAATTTATAAAAGTCTAGGCTGTTATTCCGCACTAGAAGTTATAATTCACGAGCTGTAAAAGACATTATTGTAAAAGTCTTGAAATGCATTCCAACTCAATAATTACACATAATCTACTGCTGAACGAGGGCTTCCCCATGCCATGTGGGTCACGGAGGTTCAATCTTGATTTGAAGCTTTTGTGACTGCAGGAATCCATAAAGACGATCACTTGTTGTTGCGATCGAAACGTCGTGATCTAGTCATTGTTTCTACCTACGTGACTCTACCGAAAGAACCAAAGAATCATGGAGGTTATTTGACCATACCTCACCATGCTGGTAAAATAATCTACTCAAAAAAGTAATCATTTATTCTCAGGACGTAAGACCCACATTACAAAGGCAAATACAAAAGCAGATATGGAGGAAGAAAAACACGTGACAACGCTTTCAATAAACATAAACTTCCATACATTAATCAAAACATTATACGAGACAGCAGTTAGGCCTTGCACAGCGGAACATATAACACAAATTGACACTGCAAGCAGCATAACAACTAGAGGATGATCCTGTGATGGAATGGTCAGCACACTGGACTTGCAATCCAGAGGTTGCATGTTTAATCTTCTGGCGTGGCAGTTAAAGAAGTATAAAGGGGTTACACCAGAGTTAGTCAATTGGCAGGGTAAAGTGTGTGTACTCTCAGCTGTTGCAATATGTCTGATCTGCGTGTAATAGTAGGTCAAATCCCTTATAAAGGGCCATCTTGTGCTCCCCAGTCGTGTAGGCTGTTCACCCATCAATGGCTTGAGCAATCAATTTCAGCGCTGCACCTTTATATTTTTCTTTAATTTAAATACAAAGACGAGGTAGTGATCAAACACACTTCAGTTCAGATTGCATAATCAATGAATCCAATCGAATGTAGAAACCCGATTGAAGAGGGAATAAATGATAAATGTAACATAAGTGTCATTTTTTTCCAGATTCAAAGACTTTTGTGAATGACTGAAAATTATCTGAATTTAGTATTTACTCTCAGCATAAAAACACGGTATAGGAATGGTGTTCCTGTTTGCACATTGGAAGTTTGACCAACTTTGTGTGTGAAACTAACTGAACAAAAAATATACTCACTCCCCTGGAATAGGTGCGTAACCGTCAAAATAAAATGCATCGTTAGCATCTGTCAGTCGCAAGGAGGTGACCAGCATGTCCTCGTGTCAGGCTCAATCGCGAACGCGTCACGAGGAACGATGTATGTTCGTGATATCACTAGGCCTTTGTCAAGCAAAGTGGCAACAAATCTGGCTGCAAATATCCTGTAAATTAAGCAGATGTGCGGGCGCTTTGGGAAAAAAAATGGCATTTGCAGATTGCAAAAACGGTGTTTATAATTATGAGAGCACTGTACGTGGAAATGTTACAAATAAACATGAAGGCAGCAAAAATGTAAACAGCACTTAGCAACACTTGCGTTGGGCACTGGGAAAAAAGTTATTATTTGCTTTGTTTATAAAGATGTTGTTAACTGCAAGTTTTTTTACAAATAAAACGGTGGCATTGAGGCAATACTGTATAAAATATAAATATGTTTTGACACGTTTGCCCATACATATTTTTGTTTATTTTATTTTGTTCGGAAAAGGCGGTCATGCTGAGGGTTTGGTAACATTGGCAATGTTAGTGGCAATCAGTGGGTGTAATATGCGGTGCGGAAACCCATTCTGCCAGAGACCTCCAGCATCAAGCACGACTCTCAGCCGGGTTGCATTCTCGAGTCAAGCTTTCTTCTGCAATTATTTGTGGCATATTCTTGGTTCTTTTGGTAAAGTCGCGTAGAAGGGAAATAATACAATAATAAAAATAACAGATAATACAATTCTCACGACGTTTCGGCCACAATGCCAGCAGCCGTCCTCAGGTGAAGAACAGCGCTGTCGGAAAGACAGCGTCCTAATTAGGACAGCTGCTTGCGTTGTGGCCGAAACGTCGTGATAATTTTATTATGTTTTATTTTTATTATTGTATTATTTCCCTTCTACGTGACTTTACCCAAAGAATCAGGAATATGAATCCAAGCAGTCACGAAAGCTTTAAATAGATGTTTGTGACATGTGATGTAATTTTGATGGATTATACTGAAGGATGTTGCCATGGTGTGCTGGTTAGCACGCTGGACTTGCAATCCAGAGGTCGTCGGTGCAATTTGATCTCTTGGGGTTGGATAAAAAAAAGAATGGTGCAAGTTTCTTAAACCCCCCTCCCCGCCTCTGTCCACCCAGCAATTTAAATGCGTAAACCACAGTTAGTCGACCCGCAGATCGCGTGTGGTGGATTGAGGTGTGGATACTCCCACCTCGTCGAAGATGTTTAGCCAGTGTGGAAGAGGAGACCAATTACCCTTTAGAGTAGAGAGGCTCTCCTTAGGCCCCTCTAGTGTTGCGATCGAAACGTCGTGATCTATAATTTTCTACCTACGTGACTTTACCGAAAGAACCAAAGAGTATGGATTCCTGCAGCCACGAAAGCTTCAAATAAAAAATAAATGAAAGTTTCGTTTGAATCACTTTGCCTATTCGCGAACTCTCTCAGACCAAAGACGGGAAGGAAGATGCAACATTTCACTTGTCCACAGCAGAGCAGAGGTGGTCCCCTCCCTCTACAACCAGCTGATGATGTACGTGCTACCACTGCCTTAGACTATGCAGCCACATCCACCGCAGTAATTGTTTTTGTGTTT